ATCTGCTGCAATTTCCAGGTTTTCGTCCCCCTCAGGGAATTTTAAAACAGGGGCATTAATAAGCGCTTCTTTTAATCTTTCAAAAGCTGTGTTAGCTTCCGCTGTCCACGTAAATTTACTCTTTTTTCTTTTGATTACTAAGAGTGGTTCAACAATATTAGCGAAATCTTTTATGAAAGATCGATAGTAAGAACATAATCCAAGGAAAGACGAAAGTTTCTTGGCGGTGTTGGGCGGTGGGAAATTCTTAATAGCTTTTATTTTTGAATCTTGCGTTTCTATACCCTTTTGCGAAATTTTATAACCGAGATATTTAAGTTCTTTAGTTGCGAACTTGCATTTTGAGGCGTTAATTGTAAGACCGGCCTCTTTTAATAATTTAAAAACTTGTTCGAGGTCATTAATGTGTTGTTCCAACGTACTACTCGTTATAATTATATCATCTAGATAAATTAAAGTTGATTTTCCTAGGACAGGCTTTAGAACAATGTCCATAGCTCTCTGGAATGTTGATGGGGCCCCACACAACCCAAAGGGCATGCGTAAAAAAAATGCATAAGTGCCCGATTTTGTTATAAACGCGGTTTTATGTATATCTTCGGGTCTCATAGCTATTTGATAGTAGCCAGACGTTAAGTCCAAAGTAGACATATATCTTGTCGATTTGATCTGTCTAATGATCTCGTCTATAACCGGCAAAGGGTAAACTGGAAATTTAGTAATACTATTTAGTTTTCTGTAATCGATAGCAAACCTCCAAGCCCTTTTATCCGAAGGAGGAAACTCGTTCTTTTTCCTACATAGTACGACTGGACTCGCGTACTCACTATTTATGGGCGTTATTATTTTATTCTTTAACATCTCCTGAATATGTTCTTCGATGATTAGGTCTTTTTGTTTATCATAACGATACGGTTTAGTCCTACAAGGTTTTTCGGCATTTAATTGAATCTTGTGAGTCACGATTTGGCACAGTTTCCTGGTTTTTCTGAAAACAAATGAGAAAAATTACTCACCACTTGCTGTATTGCTTTACTTTCCTGGTCATTCAGATGGCTAAGGTCCAATTCAGGTGTCTCCACAGGTTCCACCACCCTCTGGTCCATCTCCAACACCACGGAACTATCTTGAAAATTTAATTTGGCCCTCGCGGCCCTTAAAAAGTCCATACCTAAAATAAGAGAGTGTTGCAGGTCTTTCACCACAAAAATTAATACTTTGAGATTTTCCTCTTTTACCTGTAAGTTTAATGATAATTTCCCGATGCAGTGACATGTTTTTCCTTGCGCCGCTGCGCTATAATTTCCGTATTTCTGGTTTTAAATAGTCGTATCCTATAAAAATTCTTTTTGAAGAAATTTTCACTCATAAAATTTCCTTCTGCTCCTGTATCGATGAGGGCTTCTACTGGTACATCGCCAACCAGGACTTGTATAATTGGTAGCTGTGAGTTTTTTACGATGACCGTGTTTTTTTAAATGTCTATTTGAGGGTTTTTTTTTAAAACTTCCGGGGTCTGGACCCTCCCTTTCACAGGCCCCTCTAGTCGTTTAAAGCTTTCCTTTCAATCTGTGTCTTCTGGGTACGCGGATGTTTATTTTCAAATTTTCTTTTTGGGCCTTGACCTTCGAGTTTCGATGCGTTAGCTTGATAGTTCTTTCCCCCATACGAGCGATTTCCATTTCTGGTTTCCTCCTTCCTTCGGGTACTTTGAGAATATGTTTCCCCTCTCGCTCTTTTCCGCTATTCTTCGATTTTGAAACTTCACCGCCAATTCGAAGAGTTCCTGCAATGTGCTTGGGTTTCTAACTTCAAAGTAGTCTTGAACAGCGGGTAACAATCTTGGTAATATTATTTCAATTATCTCCGCATCGGGTTTTTTCCATACAGCATATCCGTTAGCTTGATTTTTCGTAAAATAAAGTCCGTCAATTGTGCTGTATCCCGTTGATAGAAACTATATAGTTCGGCTTCCAGCCGTGCGCGATCTTTCACTATGGGGAAGGCCTTTACTAACGATTTTTTGAAATTTTCAAATGTATACGTCGGGCTTCCAAATTCACCTAGAAGAAATTTGCCTATATTTTCCACCATAGCGCGGCCTGTCCTCTTAGTGCTGATGTGGCGATGGCAACTTTTTGTCTTTCAGGCACAGGGTAGAGCTGAAAGTGGTTTTCTAGACCTTCGAGAAATACCGCCACCGAATTTTTTCCGTCGAAATAGACGTTTGGCTTGATTGATGCTCTCAAAGTCTGGACCAGGTATCCAAATCCTTCTAACTGAGTTGTCATTTCTTGGTGTTGTCCAGCGGCTTCCATCCAGTTTTCGGCCATTTCAGTTCGATAAGTGTTCGGGCGCCAATATAACGTTGCGCGCCTCCAACTTGCACGCAACCAAGAGGTGACTGTGAAAACTTGTATAAAAGATAGAGCCTTGTGAAGGGTTTAAGTCCCTTTTTATTCAACGTAATAAATTACAATTGCGTTCTCTTGACGCTTACAGACTGTGCCAACTCGGCAGTCAAATAAAAAATAACCTGAAAAGAAAATAAAGACAAGATTCTAACTACGAGGCTCTCTAAAATAACTAACTCACCGCGTTTTACAATACCGCTGCTAATTCAGCAGACTTGAAGCTCACTGGAACGATTACCACTACTTCCCGCCAAGCACATAGGCCGCAACGCGGGGTTCTTCAATTCTCGCTAACTACCTCCGCGCTCGCTAAGTAAGAATCTCACACCGAACTCGTTTCCTTCTATTTAAATCATAATACTTCCGCTGATAATTTGAATCCTTGCGCGTTCTACTCAAATTTACATATTCTGGCATTGGCAGTTCCAGGGGAAAGTAAGGCTTGACAGGAAAGATAGTTTAAACTTAAAATAAATGTTAGTTAAAATAAATATAAACCCTACACAACATTTAAAATATATTATTTTCAAATACTTTAAAATACGTTAATGAATATAATTACATTAAAACATGGACAAAATTATCTCAGCAATTTTTTATTAATTTTTAACAAAATTGAAGTATACAATTATAAAATAAATGAAAAATATGTACTTACATTTTTTTGTGTCATTTAACCTGTTGTTTATTGATAAGTACCACCAAAAAAATCGGAATCATAATTTAGAGAACATCTTTGAAGGAATTCGATGATATGAATTGAATTTTAAAACGGCGCGAAAATGCACAAATTTTCAGTAACCAATGAGGGAGCTGATTACAGCTCGTTAATGCACAAATATTCTATAACCAATCAGAGAGCTTATTACATCACGCCTAGATTTAAAATTAAAAAATTCATACATAATAAAATCATTTTTTAAAAAATGCAAAATTAAATTGTATTTTAATATTTAACAGCCATAAATAATGTTTAAAACATTAGATTAAATTTATACATATTAAAACCAATTACTTTTTAAAAGTGAAGGTGACGTCATTGATTACACCATCCACAACATAAAATTATCATAAAATATCATAAACAATAAAGCTTTTTATTTCAAATCAAAAATGCAAAATTAAATTGATTTTTAATATTTAGAAGCCATAAATAATATTTGAAACATGGAATTTATGCACAATAAAACACATTATTTTTTAAATAAAATGATAACAAAGTATCGGTTACCATAAATAACTTATCCAGCAATGGGTTTATCATAAGTTGTATTACTATTACTCGCCAAAAGAAAAATCGCCAAAATCCGTGCAACCGTCTACCAAAGTAGCACCAAGAGTACAATGATTGGGATCAGGAAATAATCAACGTAAGGAACAGTAAGCAATCTAATGCTCTAAACAATTGTAATATATTGATATACGTCCAACACATGACAAACGAGTATATGACATACAACTTAATTTTACTATATTATAAATTGCACAGCACACCATAACGAATGGAAAATATTACAGCAAAACTGAGCATATGGTAAAATAAATAAGTTTAAATCAAAATATGAGATGGGCATGATGCTAAAACTAAAGTCAATGCAATTCATATGCATTGAAGATAGCAAATTAAGGATTAAAATAATGAAGTAAAATTAATTTACAGTTAAAAAACAACACAAGGGAAACAAGGGAGATGCAAAACATTTTCCATCTTTCCTGTTCCGAATAAGCTTAATGACTCTACAGACTTTAAGTCCAATAGTGAAGAATATGGTTGCAAGGAAAGGTAAGTACTGTTTGCTTTGTTACATACGAGACAACAAGACACGGAGATTTTTTTGTTTTTTCATGCTTATTCAAATTTGTGCCAATTTAAACAAATCACTCACAAATTTATATGAATTTCTGTAGAAGTTTGAAGTTTGTAATCAGCAATGATTTAGATAAAATTGGCTTAACGAGGGGAAAATCATTCTTATTGAGAACTCAAATATATTTGTAGAGTTATTAAAACCTAATGACTCTTACAGTTAAAGCAGGAAGCATGAAATTGTGCAGTGTTGTTGCCGGTACTTGAACTCTGGATCTCCCGATGGCCAGCTGGATGTACTTTCAATTACACAACGAAGACAAGGGGGGGAGTAAATACCTTACTTTATCTCTCACTTAACGGGCGACTGGGGAGGAGGGGAGCCAAACGCTAAATTCTGATGGTGACGAACTATCGTCCATCGCTTTTTAATTTAGCCCCAACTGCAGAGTCATTAGTTTTGTCGAAGCAGGAAACGTGAAAAATGTAAAATATTTCTACGGGATTCCCTTTACACCACAAAGGAGGGAGAAAATACCTTGCATATTGCGGGAAGAATTTTTATCTCTAATCGAAATCCTTTCATTTTATATAAAAGTATATTTAATAAAACAAAATGTTCGAATTTTAAATAAAAAAGCCGGATAAAAAACATTAAACCATGTAAAAGGAGTTTTAGTTTGAATGCAACATTTCCATATTGATTCGTAACATTCAAAACAAAAAAGTGTAAGCTTTTTAATTTTAATTATTTCAATTTATTTATTTAATTTTTACAGAGACTGAAGCTTTCAATGGACTACCTTGGATAGAGCAGAGAAGATTTTCACTGCAGATGTTTCGAGATTTGGGATTCGGAAAACCACGAATGGAAGAACTCATAAAGGTCACAAGTGCTTAAATACAATGTCGTTTTAAAACTGAGCAGCTCACCTGAAAATTTAACATTAAAAATTAAGATACACCCGCATCTGTAATACAAGGCTTTAATTAATGAGAGCCTCCTAAGCCTTTTTATTCAGGCGACTTTCTCCTTTTGTGTTTCAAAGACAGCGCAGCATTACAATCACTGCAACGAAGAGTACAGATCTCTCCGATAACGCAAGAGATATCTTGGTTACTCTTGTTTTTAATAATTTATTATATAAAGTAAAGCGAAAATATTGAAATCTAATATATAATATAAAAATGACTTGTGATTATAGCTCCTTATAAGTAGATATCTGAGAATAATTTGAAATGAATAGAAATTGATTAAGATTATTCTTTTCCTGGTTGTTACTCATAGTAGATGAATTTCAAAATGTGTAAAATTCAGCTTTTGATATTTTTCCTTCATATATGTATGCCCATACCTCAGTTTGTTTCACTTTTAAATTTACTGTTGAATGATATATGTAATAGCTGTTCAACTGCTTTTCATGAGAAAATTCTATAATGCAAACAATTCAGAAAATTCAACAAATGAAGCATTACGCGTACATATAACATACATTACCCTCCAAAAATTAAGTATGGAACAAAAAATCAACTATATTTTATAAAGTTATACATTAGCTTATTTTAGGTTTTCCAAGGAAGTACTGAAAATATTTAGTTAAATGATTTATTCATGAGAACTACAATAAAAATGTTTGATACTTTCAGGATTTTTGTAATATTCAGTACTACAATAAAAATGTTTTTTTTTTCAGAATTTTTTGTAATCTTCAACATATATTTTACGTTTTCATTAAAAAAACAGATTGTTAATAGGGAATGTAGTTCTTCTGACACTGACACAAATTTTGCATAAATTATTCACCTCTTAATCAGATAATCCATTATAGCAGAGAGTAATTGCTACCATCCTTGTAGAAGAAGCAAAAAAGAAGTTTACAGCTCCTGGAGAGAACTTTGAGGAGACAGACTTGGTAGAGATAACACTTCCAACGTCATCTCAACGATTTTTATATTGCACTATGATCCAGAGAAATAAAATGTTGGACATGTAGCCTTTCAATATATTTCCTTTGAAGGGATGAGAGTTTCACATACATAAAGAAAAGCTTGATGAAATGCTAAATTATAAGATTTCACATACGTTTCAAGGAACTGGTATTTTTCTGCCTTCACAGTACCTTCTAAGAACATGACAATGTCGGTGAAATATCCAAAGAAAAGACAACCCATATTACGTACTACACTTCCCGATCTACGCCATGGTGTTCAATGTGAATTTTCGAGTATTGCTGTCTGAACGAGTGTGACGCTTATAAAAAGACAACTGGTTGGACTGAAACCTAAAATCTCACTAAAATTCAAATTACTGATATCTTTCTAACGTTACTGTACCTTCTGTCAGTATCCAAATAATAAACAACCCGTACTAACCATTCTGTCAAAGTTAAAAGCGTAATATTAACTGACATAATGAAGGGCATATAACTTTTTTCTCAAGATCACCTTTATTGTCCGACTCTATGCAAATCCTGATCGATTTTTTTTTTTTTTTTTTTTTTTGTGTGTGTGTGTGTGTGTACAATTGTGATTGATTTGATTTGCATGCTGACGTCAGTACTTTAGTGGTGATCTCCAAAGGAATGTAACGTATATTATTCATGCAGCGAAATTAATCTTTTCTTGTTTATGTTTTATCAATGCACATTTTGAAACACTTGAATATTTTTATATTTCTTAACGGAACAGACAAACCGTCCTAATCATTCTATCAAGGTTAAAAGCGTAGTATTATTGAAGTTGCGTGTCACTTTTCTCTCAAGATCACACCTTTATTGCCCGATTCTATGCAAATCCTGATTGATTTATTGGGTTTTTAAACCATTATTATTGTTCTGATTCACATACTGACTTCAGAAATTTAATAATGATCTCCAAAGTTATGTAAAGTATTATTATTCGTACAGCGAAACCTTTCGAAATTAACCATTTCTTGTTTATATTTTATTAATGCATATTCTGAAAGGCCTGAATATTTTTATATTTCTTAAGAGAATCAAACAAAGAATATTAAGGTTTATTAATTTATTTACAGGAAGAAATCATGGATTTGTTAGACCATTTTGAGAAAACTGGAGAGAAACCAACAGAAGTGAGACCCCTTTTGGCCTCAAGTATGTCCAACAACATTGCTATGTTAATCTTTGGTTACCGGCTACCATATGACCACCCAAAACGCAAGTTGTTAGATTACTGCATCACAGAAAGTGCAAGGCAAGCCGGCCAAGTTGCATGGCAAATCTTTTTTCCATGGCTTGCAAAAATACTAATTTTTTTGCATCTTGGAGGCAAGAGCTCTCTTTCAAAAGTGAACAAGATTTTTAGGGATTATGTAAAGTACGTACATTGGCTTAAGTTTCCTTAAATTTATTTAAATTTAACTCATTAGTAGAGTGAGTTTAACTTTGATAGTGCTTATTATATTTTACGTGTCGAAGGTTAATCGTTCTTAATATTAGCGGTAACGATAATTGCTATTCAAACAGAAACTTGTTTTGCAAGTTTTTCAAATGAATAGTTACTCCAAAAGTTCGATAAGATTATACATATTTTCGTACAAATATGGAGGATAGTAATGTCCAATTAATTTTACATCGCTAAGCTAACATACACTCTAACACATACGTAGCGTATTCGGAAACTAAGTACCGTTTCATTCTAGCGCCGTCGCAGCGCTGTGGTAGGCGTCCAACGCATGCGCACTAATCTTTCTTGTTCACTGACTTTCAATTGTCGCCATTTTGGTTGCTCTATGTTGTGTTTTCAGTTTGCTGTGCACATTCAAAATGTTTAAGACAATTAGTTCTCCCGCTGACTGTGAGATTCGTGCCGTGATTAAATTTTTGAACGCGAGGAATTTTAAACCGGCCGAAATTTATCGTCAAGTGACAGAAGTTTACGGTGAATACGCGATAAGTTATCGAATGGTGAGAAAGTGGGTAAGAATGTTTAATGCAGGTCGAACAAATGTCCACGCTGAGGCTCGGAGTGGTCGGCCTTCTGTTGTCACCGATGATTTGGTAAGGAAAGTTGATGAAGCAATTCATGAGAACGGGCGCTTCACAATGACAACTCTTTCAGAGGCATTTCCACAAATTTCACGTACTGTTTTGTTCGAAATTGTGTCTGACCGCTTGAATTATCGGAAACTGTGTTCCCGATGGGTTCCAAAAATGCTCACTGATGTTCACAAAACAAAGCGACTTGTAGTGCCCTGACGTTTCTCACGTGGTACAGTGATGAGGGAGAAAACTTTTTAAACCAAATTGTGACAGGGGATGAAACTTGCGTGTGTCATTTCACACCAGAATCGAAATAACAATCGATGGAGTGGAGACACACTCATTCTCCGAAAAAACAAAAGTTCAAAGTGACAATGTAATCACAAAAAATCATGTGCACTGTCTTCTGGGATAGGAAAGGCGTTTTGCTTACTGAATTTCTTCCCAGAGGTGAAACCATTAATGCGGCACGATATTGTGAGACTTTAACAAAGCTAAGGCGTGCCATTCAAAACAAACGAAGAGGAATGCTCAGTAAAGGAATTTGTTGCTCCATGACAATGCTCGGCCCCATACTGCTGGTGTCACTCGATCGTTAATTCGACAGTTTCATTGGGAGCAGTTCGATCACTTGCCGTACAGCCCGGACTTGGCGCCGTCCGACTATCACTTGTTCCTGCACATGAAGCGCGAGCTTGTGGCAAGTGCTTTAGATCTGACGATGACACAAAAAATGCTGTGGAGTCGTGGTTGTTGAAGCTTTTACATGTAAAAACACCAAAACATGAATCTTTGCATCATTTAAAATATTTTGTAACTGAAAGTATACATATGCTACCAAAGATTGCGGAAGTAAAGGCTGGGTAAAAGGAATTTTATGGATACGGTAAATATACTTCTAATAAAAATTTGCCATATTCTTATTTTTTGAAAAAAACATATGTACTCTTGTATTTAAGATTAACTGAAAAATCTTGCAGTATTCTAAGTAAATGTGGATAAATTAAAATCTTCCTTGCACCCGTAAATGTTTTGATTTTGATGATTCTCGTTTCTTTGTAGGTGAAAATTTAAGAGTCAGCTTTTGAGGGAAAAATAAAAACAATTATTGCATATGTTTTGTAAGATTAATGATACTTTTGTGCATTCAAAGTTAAAAAATTTTTGGATAGAGATGATAGTTTTTTAGACAATTTTATAAAAATATTTCTCAACAATTATTAATTTTGCAGTAAGGAAGTAGAGCAGCACGAAAAAACGCTAAATGAAGCTGACATTCGGGATTATATCGATGGATATTTGCTCGAAATTCGTAAAAGACATGATCCAGCATTTTGCAGTAAGTATGATCTTATTTATGTATTTTTCTCATCTGCTTATGTGCAGTCTTAATATAATTTCTTCAGTAAAAAGTAACTTATAGATTTAAATGCAATTCCTGCTTATTTTATAATAGCAAATTTTTTAAAAAGGTGTTATGAGCAATAATATTGATATTTTATTTTATGGACTTTCTTTTCTTATTTGATTACGAACCCTAAACAACGAATTATTAATGATAAAAACTAATAAAATTGCATAAAATCTGAAACGTTTGTTATATTTGTTATGTGCTAAATTATCACTGACACTCAGTTATGTTTTATTTTTATTCCATATTTAAAACAATATGGCTGTAGATTTTTCTTGCCGATATTGTACATTGAATTATGTAAATATAAAATATACTCTTGATTAACTGCGTTGAAGATTAACCAAGCCCTGTCTAAAACTGTTTTATTTTAATTTGGATAATGAAAAAATTAAGATATCAAACATCAGAATGAAGTTCTACGAGACATAAAAAAAAGGAGAAGGAACTGCACGAAATAATATGAGTTATTAAGCCAGAAGGGGCAGTAGCCCAGAAGGACTATTAGTTTCGAAACAACATTAAGCGTTGTTTCACTTTTCAAATTGTTGCCACCAGATATTATCGCTCTGTATTATGATTTAAAGAAATTAAATAATGAAGAATCTGCATGATATGTATGTTTCTCGCGTTGTGAAAAAACGACGGTACTTAGAGGTATCAAATTTTAATAACGTAATCCTCCACCAGAACTTGGGCACCGGAATTTGGAATTTGCTTTGAAAAATATGAATAAAATTAAGCCTTTTGAAGTTTTATTTACATGCTCTGTTTCTTTACTTTGACATTTCAACACCCCTCATTTCAGACTTCTTTGCTTTTACCTAATACTGTCACATATTTACCATGGAGGAGTCATTAAACAAACTCGTCCAAATGTTTATTAGTTTTTAATTTCACCGACCAAATCCATCCCACATTTCCGATTTGCTGTTTCGGCAGTCAACACAACTTGATCAAGCCTAATTTAGCTTTTTCTCGTTCGCAAATTAATCTTCGTCGGATTACCCGTATCATATTGTTAAATTAGCAATCTACTGTTTATTTTTTATGGATTTTTTATTGATTTTTTCGGTATTTTCATCATTCTAATTTTTTGTTTCCTGTGATGTTTTAATTGTTTGGCTTTGCAACTCAGTAAAAAAACTTTTATTTCACTAATTTTTGTTTTTCAGATATATTTAGGTATTAATTACTTAATTGACCATTTATATGAAAGATTTCCAAATTATGGTTCAATTTCATCTGAATGTAACGTTATAGAAATGACCTTTAAGATTCACTCAGTCAAGTCTATTTAATCCCTTGAGAAAAAGCTTGGCTTAATTTATCCTATATTTTTGGAATTATACATTTGCTAATTAATTAACAGCAATTTTGATTTTCATCACACTTTATATTTTTTGCAGTTAATTTTATTCAATTAGCTTTTTTAAATGTGTTCTCTTATTAATTTTTAAATGTGTTCTCTTCTTGTTTATTGGGATAATAATTAAAAAATTAAGAAGAAAATATTTGTAATATTTTATAACGGAATTAATTGCTTTTACTCAAAATTAAAACCTTAGGAAATTCTCGAGAATATTTTTCTACATTATACACAGTATCACATAAGTTGGCTAAGAAAAACCGAATCCAAAACAAGCAAATAACACAACTGTAAGGCAGGCGATATTATATTGGATGGCCTAAGATAAACCGGATATGGGAGATTTCACTTGCTTTAGGTTGGTTATCTTGGATCAGCGATATATATAAAATAAAAATTGAAAAGTGAAAAAAGTAAAAATTGAAAGAAAATTCAGAAATAATATTCAGATTAGACTAAAAAGAATATAAACGAAATATCTATGAAAGATAAAAAAATATGTAAATCAAAATTTCAACTTTAATTTGCAACAGCTTCTTAATTCTTTATTTTAGTTTGAGTATTTCCCTTTCTATTATAAAAATAGTTATTACTTATAATAAAACTTATTAAACTGAACCATTCAAAATTAAGAGCAATGTCATATGGTTTTTACATCATGCTGATGCCGCAGACGGTTTGTGATCTGCGACTAAAATAGTCAATAATAATTTCAGAATTATAAACCAATAAAAATACTATCGAAACCGGATTAATTCATTCCGATCTAAGTTTTTGTCTTTACATATATCGCATTTGCTCTGCGCTTCTCCAAAACCTGTTAACTCTTTGCTCTCTTCAATATTATACTTTTAAAATGTAACGGTGAAGATTTAAATATCCAAAAATAGGCGTTATGGCTCCCAATTATTTAATATTCTCTTATTGAAATGCTTGGTCAACTAAATAAAAAGGAATGTGTAAATCTACCTATGCTGCAAGTTTGATTTTTATTACGCGTCTTCAATGTATCTAAAATGCTTAGTACTTTGAAATGAATCTATAATGAATCTACAATAATCAACATTGAAGTTTCTCAGCAATAATTTCGAAAGATCTGTATTGTTTTTCTTTTCACAAATAGAATGGATACTGAAGTGAAAGGATTAGAAGAGCCTAATGAACAGACAAATTTCATCCCAAATAAAACCCCTCAACAAAGACATTTGCATTGGTAGAATAATAATTAAAGACAAAATTCTGAAATTAATTCAAAATTATGTAGATTATATTATAGTTGTAAGTGACTGAATTAAAACTTGATATAAATTTAAATACCTGGAGGTTTACATATTTCTAATTACAATTTTAAAAATAAAACTACACGACTAAATCTTCTATTTTTTATAGTGTATGATTTTAAGATGTTATTTAAAAATATGAATTAATTGAAAATTAAATTTTCAAACTGAAATTTTTAGTTGAATGTTTTAGAGCGATGTACTTAAACTTATATGTTCCGTAACAAAAATTATTTGAATCTATACTCTAAACACAAGACTTTTGTATTTTCCTAACATAAACCTCCACGATTTCTGTATTAGTTTACATTATAGTAATTAAATTATTACTTAAAATAAAAAGAGAATATTTGTATTTATTACGTCTTTCGATGGACAGCAATAAATCAATTTTAACTTTAATGTATTAGTACAAAAAGATATATGCGCTTTAGGAGTTTTCCAGTGTTTGGTTAGCGAACCAAATACATGTCTCGCACTGATAAAGTTACTCAGTTTGGATGGGGAAAGGATGCTCATATTTAGATTTTAATTTTATTATTAGATAATAAATTACTGGTAAAATAATATGAAATGCCTTATCAAAATCACAAGCCCTTGTGAATCCAAAACTGATTTATTCCTAATATACAACATTTAATTAAATTTAATAAGGGCATAGCACATTTAAGTAACTTCAGTAGTTTATAGAGAAATACAAGGAGGTTAGAACAGATGGAGTAAGCACGACATCACAAAAATGAAGCCAAGGAAATCGCAATAACGTGACGTCACAACTCATGATAGCCGCCTTGCAGCGTGTAGATAAGAGTACTAAACATATTGTTAAATAAAATTTCACCGAATTTGAGAACAAATATCAACGTCCGGAAGCTGAAAAGTGTCTTTAGGCATAATTTGCGTAAAATGTCATTGAAACTTATACTAGTTCTAGGTTTTACCATGTTCTAGGTGTTCTATGCTTCAGCTAAAATTTTCACATTTCCATACCTAGATTTTGTACAGTTTGAAACAGTTATCCTTGCGATTCTTCTATGCACTAAGAAGAAAATCATTTCTGTTAAGTATTAAAATTAGAACGGGGGATTGATAAACATTGAATGATGAAAGCTAACATTAAGACAGCACCAATTAAAACGTAAACAAAACCAACCAGAAGCTCGCCTATGGCAGTGTGCCATGATAAGTCGTAACGTCATACTATGATATTTCATGACTTCATTTTCATTGCTCGAGGCCTACAGAGGAAGCTTACTTCGTTTATTTTAACCTCCTTGGTGAAATAGATAAAATAATTTAAAATATATAGCTTGTTTATTGATAAATTTGCTTAGCATCAATTCGCTTCGCGTATTAAAATTAATAATTAATAATATAATAAAATATTTCATTTTTATCTTTCCAATAAATCTATGATTTTTCCTCTTGCTTTAGTAATTCTGCACAAACATTTTAGAAGTAAGCTAAAAATAATAAGGCTTAAAACATGTATAGTTCCTTACGATAAAAACGTAAACGAAAGCGGTCTTTGATAAAGTTAAGCGTCATATAAATTTAAAACAAAATTTTCACATTAGACAGGATTAACAGTTTCTTTCTACAGTTTCAGTTAAAATATTTTGTTTATGCAGAGCCAGTTCTAACGGATATGGTTGGAACTTTCTTCGGTGCGGGAAGTGAGACTGTTCGCTTGACACTCGAATGGTTGCTGCTAACTATGGCAGCTTATCCAGATGTTCAGAAGCAAGTTCAGACTGAGATTGATGAAGTTATTTCGCGAGAACGCCTTCCTACCTGGGAGGATCATCGCCAAATGCCATACACTGAAGCCGTCATAATGGAACTGATGCGTTGGAAGACAATAATACCAATTAATATCCTAAGATAGTAAGTAATGTAAAGAAAAAATTAAAGAAAGTTTGTCTCGCAGGTATCACACTTATGCTTATGTTCTGATTTCGGTTACAGCCGAAAACATCGCGGCAAAAACATCGCAGACGAAAACGTCGCGGAGAAAACAACGCAAGGCGAAACGTCGTGCTACAAAACATCGTGGGAGAAAACATCGCAAAGAGAAAACATCGCAGTTTTAAAACATCGTGGTACAAAACATCGTCGTCGAAAATAAAGCGCTTCAAAAACTTCGCAGTTTAAAAACATCGTCGTCGAAAATATCGTGGTAAAAAATAAAGTATCTACAAATTATCGCATGACGATAACATCGCAAACATGCTTTTTTCAGGCTTTAATAACTATACATGGATATTCCCGTAATATTTTGTGAGCACAAGATGGAAAGAAGGATAATTTTTACTTTCATATTTTTTATTAATCAATAAATTTTTGCTGAGAAAATAAAAAAGAAACTTAAGCATAGAAAATTAATGCAATTTATAGCATTGAATAGAATTTTAAACCGACATAGTTAACTAACAAAGGCCATTAATAAATCAGTTTTTGTAAAGTTTTCACTGGTAATTTTTCATGAAAAGTATAATGTATAAGTTGCATTTAGTTTTCTATGCTTAAGTTTCTTCTTACTTTTTCAGCAAAAATTTATTAGTTAATAAAAAAAAATGTGAAAGTAAAAATTATCCTTCTTTACATCTTGCGCTCACAAATCATTATGGGAATATCCATTTACAATTATTAAAACCTGAAAAAAGCATATCTGCGATGTTATCGTCATGCGATGATTTGTAGATACTTTATTTTTTACCACGATATTTTCGACGACGATGTTTTTAAACTGCGAAGTTTTTGAACTGCTTTATTTTCGACGGCGATATTTTGTACCGCGATGTTTTAGAACTGCGATGTTTTCTCTTTGCGATGTTTTCTCCCACGATGTTTTGTAGCACGACGTTTTCGCATTGCGTTGTTTTCTCCGCGACGTTTTCGTCCGCGATGTTTTTGCCGCGATGTTATCGGCGGACACCTCTGATTTCATTTGAAATCATGTTATATTTGCTTACTAAGTAATCATTTTTGTTCAATCTTAGAAATACTGTTGTTGAGATTCTAAGACCATGCGATTTTAAATAATTATATTTTACATTTTAAGTGAATAACAATTTTTTATTTTGAAAAATTCATAAGTAGTTCCAAACGATAGTCACTTTCAAAATCTTTCGTAGCATGTTAAATTGCAGTAGAATGAAAATAATGAAGGAATCGTTAAATGTTACAAAATTTTAATAGTTCCTTCCTTGTTTCCATACTATTAGAATTTTACATACAATATGTATAATATTGGAGTGGCAAGAAAGTAATTTCGGTTTTCACAAATATATAGCGTTATGTTCGTTTTGTTATTCTTCTGTGAATCTTACTTTTTTTTTTCAGCTGACTCTTTTAGCTTCTATAGAAATAAATTCCTTGTATTTATGTTTACAACTGTTAGTTTATGGTTAATTTTAATATGAGATGCAAAACTGAACACATTCAACATATTTTACTTTTTTTTACTTTCATAAAGGAAAGAAAGAGACTGAGTGTGAAATTTATGGTCTTGATAACTTAACAGAGTGTCAGATTTTATTGATTTTATTGATTAACAGAGCGTCAGATTTTATTGATTTTATTGATTAACAGAGCGTCAGATTTTATTGAAAAATTTTGTTCTGGAGATTTTTCACATGAAGAGGATTAACATTCTGGCCGACCTTCTGCAGTTGATGATGACAAAATTAAAACCATAATTGAGTCGAATCATTATATAACTCTGCGAGAGTTTGCAAAAGAGCTACATGAATCACACACGATAACTGAAAATCGCATACGATGTCTTGGACTCCGTAAGGAAGCTTTATATTTGGGTTCTCCATTAATTTTAAAAAAATCATTTAAAACGCAACGAATCAATATTTGCGATACGCATTTTAAACGTAATACAATCGATACTTTTTTTAAACGAATTATTACTTGTGATGAAAAATAGGTTGTCTACAACAATCGAAAAACATCATGGTAAAATTATGATGAACCAGCACAAATCCTATCGAAAGCTAAATTACATCTGGAAAAGGATGATGTTTGTCAATTTGGTGGTATTACAAAGGTGTTGTGTATTTTAAGTTGTTTCCAAGCAACCAAATTCAGATTTTTACTGCGAGTAACTTATGAAACTGGAGAATGCAATCAAAGAGAAAGGCCAGAATTTGCAAATCGCAAAGGAGTTGTATTCCACCACGATGGTGCGAGGCTTCGTACATCTTTAGCAGTACGTACGAAATTGCTAGTACCTGTTTGGGAAGTGATGTAGCATCCCTCATATAGCCCTGACCTTATACTTTTGCTTTATCATTTGTATAGAAGTTTACAAATCTTCTTGAATGGTAAAAATTTCAGTAATAATGATGACCTCCAAATCGCACTTGAATGAGTGTTTTGTTGATAAAAACCAGAAGTTCTCTGAGTGTGGAATTGTAAGGTTACCAGAAAGATGGCAAAAGGTCATCGAAAGAATAGAAGATATTTGATTGATTAAACTTAATTTTCTGTGTAGAAGAAATTAAGTTTTATTTCACACTAAAACGTCGAAATTACTGTCTTGCCAAACCGATAAATATACTCTATTACAAACGCAACAAAATGTACTAAAATTATTCGATGCTTCTCGTGATGAGTTTTATTTCTTTTAGCTGTTTCATAAAATCCAGTTCTTTAAGGGGACTCATACACCTTAAATCCCTCATGATCTTCGAATATGTGACTGTTGCAAGAATTGGGATATTTTATTTATTTTAAAAGCAATTACTTCCAACTTTTTACAGCTGTTTACATAATATAGCTGCTTTGGAAACTAGTAACCAGAAAGTTTGTGTTGCCACAAATATTTTTGTAATTTAATCGTCTTTGTGACAAAATGTTTTGCCATGTTTCCAACTTGCGCGCACGATATTTTAAAAAAAGGCTCATGTTACATACTTGAAATTGGATGGAATTCTTTATATGGGCACTCTTTTCTAACTGAACCAACAATCTGATGAATATTTTAATACTGAAAAATTTTATGGACGAAAACATTACAAATTTTGTTAATAAAATACATTTTATAAACTCAACTCAAAATAAAATAAAAATTAACATGGAATTTTTAGAATTTTAGGTTCACAGTAGTTTCCAAATGTTATAAAAGCTAGATATTAAATATGGAATTAAATTATGCAACAGAATGTTTTAAACTGTGCGCGCAAGGTGGAAACATGACGAAAAATGTTGTCACAAACCAGATTAAATTATAAAAATATTTGTGGCAACACAAACTTTCTGATTACTATTTCAGAAAGCAGCTATATTGTGTAGTTAGCTGTAAAACGTTGGTAGTAATTGCTTTTAAAATAAATAAGTTATCCTAATTCTTGCAACAGTCACATGTTCGAACATGGGTTTTAAGGTGTATGAATCCCCTTAAAGAAGTTCGAAACTCAGGCTAATAATCTGACAAAGAGTCTTACAACACATTAACGTATAAGACGTGAAAGTTATATCGTGAAGATACATTGTGAAAAATTGCAGATTAACCAACTGTTACATCATTACATGAGTTTCATGCTCCAGCATCTGAGCAACTAAGTTTGATCTGAAATTTAGAAAAAGGTGTGCCGTATAGCGTGTAATTTTTATTCCCAGTCGGCGCTATGTCCTATCTGAATCATTAAGAAAGCTTCAGTATGTTTTAAACAAAGTGAGTTAAAATTATGCAACCGTTTTAATAATAATAATAATAAAAACATACAACCATATTTTAAAAAATTATACAAATAGTTATGTGGGGGTGTTTAGTTTATTATTTATAATATTTTTCAATTTTTCAAGAATTTAAGATAATCGATGAACAAGTGGATAAATTCACGGAATATTTGTAATTAATTCTTCTCTGATTCGAATCCAAATTACTGAATTGATAGGTTAATTGATTTAAGCAAAGCACACATTGTGGTGAACCTTTTAATGGAAACTGGATCGCAGTTACGTTACACATGGAGAAAGTCACGGAATAATCGCTCTTGTGACCAGGGATTCGAGCTACCAGTGCTAAGCGATCTTACAGCTCGGCCGCAGGTAGGTTGGATTTCCTGCTTGAACTCAAGGGTTTTCGTAGGTTTTCGCAATGTATGATGTTAACAAGTTCTCTTTAAAACAGTCTCCATGAATGCATCTGACCTGAGGAAGATAGCCTTCGTTTGCTTTTCCGAAGTTAATCAATTTGGATAATTTAATCGTGATATATGTATTTATCAAAACTGGCAATAACTGAATCTAGGCAAAAAAGTAATGTGGTAACGTAAAAAATTCTGAAATTTTGATTCTTATGCTAATTTACCATAAAGTTGGCAGTTCGCTCAACGATTGTAATTTTCATGAGATTAGCAATGTTTTGGAGTGAATCTCCTGAACTGATTTTCTTAACAGCAGATTCAGAAAAGCCTGCACTTAAGAATCCCTCCATTTAAATATACAGTTCTTATATGCTATACCATAGTTAAATAATTCTACTGAATTCAAACTCATACTCAGAAACTTCATCTTATCATCCATTGCCTGAGCAAAATTTTATATTTTTGGATACGAAAAAACTTTATGGAAGGAAACAAACGAGTTCCCTCTTTTAAATCTTTACTTGAAAATCTTCTAGAACGTCAATAGACTCAAATAGTAAATGTTTTCATAAAAATTTTTCCTATTAAAGAAAGGTTTTTGAACTTGCATAGAAACGTACATTCGTGTAGCATTGACAACAGCAGTTAATTTAAACAGAAAATAGGCAAATTAAGATATTATCAGCATTATATTAAATAACAATTAAATGTACTGCACGTGACCAATAGTGCTCTTTCTCTTGTTAAAAATGAGATTAAAATATTAAGAATTTGTAGCTTAATCTTGAAGAAATTATACATTGACGAAAAAGTACTGAACCTATCTTTATAGTATCACTTACAAAGATATTGTACTCGTGTAAAGTTATATAAAGAAACAACTTTAGAATTATGTAGTCTTATGTAAAACTCCATCGATTTCAGGGTCCATCAGCGGCCGAGCGGTAAAATAGATGAACACTGGTAGTTCCGACCTGGGTTCGAATCCAGGCGAACGGGCTAGATGCATGGGCATTTTCATGGTTTTCCTCATGTGAAACGTGTATACGAGCCAGTTTTGCTTAGAAAGTCCTTCATATAGGCATCCCTTCTCTTGGGCAGATAACCCTAGCGTTCTTTGCCGTAATAAACTAAACCAAATCATCGATTTCAAAGGAGATGACACAGATACGTTACGCTCAGAAGGGGGAAACGTATAATACAGGTAGAACGAAACGCATAATAAATCGGAGAGAGGAAATGAAGCCTTGCTATTTTAACAAATGCGAAATGAATCAAAGTTCTACTTAAACAATGAAACATCAGTTCAAATTATTCGAACTGGCACGGAAGAAGAGTATTAAGGGCATTTGGGCTTTTACAATTTGTTCTAAATATGCCTCCCTTTCCCCCTGATCCACTTTAACAATTTACAAATTATTTATTTATTAGTCCAAAGAGGCAATAATACTGTATAATATTTACTATAAATATGGTAAAACTGGTATTGTATTGTGTTCTTGTCAACATTTTTACCTGTCATTTATGCTTTCTTCTATTTGTAGTACTCTCACAGATGCAAAAGTTAATGGATTCTTCATTCCAAAACACAGTCTAATTTTATCTAATCTATGGGCTATCCATCATAACACTGAATACTGGGGTAAAGATGCTAATATATTCTATCCGGAAAGATTTTTGACAGAAGATGGAAAAGAAATTAAAAAAATAGAATATTTTATACCTTTTTCCATTGGTGAGATATATTTTTGTATGAACAGCTAATCCTATGTACGATAAAATAAAATCAAATAACGCAAATGATAACTTACCTCTCTGAATTTAATTTTAGTAAACATTATTTGTGCTTTCGTTCTTATGTATAGAATAATTGACGTAAAATTCCAGTACCTATAAAAATTAAATTCAATAATTTTAAAAACTCAAAATTTATTTTTTTAATATATTATCATCATCATATTATTATTTTATATATATACACTCTTTTCTTCTAGGCAAAAGGGCTTGCCCAGGTGCAGCATTGGCGCGGGAAGAGGTTTTCTTATATTTTGTTTCAATTCTTCAAAAATTCAATATTTGCTTGCCGGAAGGGAAAGTTCCTGATCTTGACGGAGATCTTGGAATTGGCCTTACACCCAGAAGCCAGGAATTATGCCTGAAAAAGAGAAATTAAACTTGTTTAGATAATTAACTGCATGGACAACTAATACCGTTTGCGTTATACAGGAGGTGATAAATGTTTCGAGCTACAAAACCCAGATATCAAATAAAAATTTTATTATTGTTTCCTTGAATGTTTGTGTTAGACATCTTTAGAGTCCAGTGAATGAACTGGACCAGTCTGTACACTGGAGTAACAGGAAATTACACAGGAGAACGGTTCAAGTACCCTATATTAACTCTTTAAAATTTACAAATGCGTCAACTCGACGCAACAAACTTCGCCTCTACTTGGGCGGTAACTGAAAGTCAGATAATTGAAACTAAAAGTTGAAATATTTAACAAGTGATAAAACTAGTCTACAGGGCTCGGCGAGATCCCGTAAATTAAAAACCCCTTTGAAGCTAGTGGCAGCAGATAAATGCAATTAAGCCACTTGAACCAGCAATAAGCAAACGTACCTACGGCAGAGACGGCAGCTAGAGCCTAACTCTCCCTTCCTCCTACCGTAACTCGGCTTCCTTGAAGGCAGAAAATTTGCTTTTCCTTCTGCGCGCTACAACTATTCTGGCACTGACAATTAGGGGAATTAAGGCTTATAGGAAAGTTTCAAATAAAACTTTAAATTATTAGTTAAAATAAATATAAATCCTTACAGCTGCCGGTGCCAGAATTTAGCAGACTTAAAAAAAATTTCTTAAAGACCTGTTACAAACTGTTAAATTCTAGAAAAACAGCTCTGAGCCCCGTTTACATACAAGAACTAAACTTTGATTTAATTACAATACAAATAATTCGTTTTCATCTAAATTTTCCGTTGTAGAATCTATCGTTCTTGATCATTAGGGCAATCAGTCTTGTCCTTCCAGAGTAACTATGAATACATGTTTCTAAACATACAAAAAATAACACTTTACATTTACAAGCATTGAACCTTTTATCGAGTTCCTAAATCTCTAGACTTTAATGTAATTTTCTCAAGTTTACCGAACATTGCGGTTTTTAAGGGACACAAGTATTCATCCATATTCAGGGCTTAATTTTAGCTTAATCCCCTTCTGGATCTCCACAATATGTGGTGCAAAACTCAAGTGCTATATGTCACAGTGAACAAACTCTCCACCTAAATACACAATAGTTACACATACCAACCTTTTAAAACACTTCTTAATTCAAATTCGTAAATTCTCCATGAGCTAATAAATATGAAAATTAACTGTGTTAGTGAAGAGACCTACACATTCATAGAATAATAAATTTTTCCCACATTCGGGCTTTTGAAACATGTAAGTTTTTGCTCGGAAACGTATGATTTAATTTGACTAAAATATCCTCACTTCAAGAGTTTGAAGCATTTTTACACTTTAACTTTTACACTTCAAGATTTTCTTACATTAACTTTTAAATATATTTCGAAATTTTTCGCACTACATAATTATTCTAATTTCTTTAGAATTTAAACATGAATTAGAGTATAATTTACCTTAGCACAATAGATATTTTCACATTTTATAATCGCATACTTTTAGCATACTAGAGAAAAAAATTACTTGACTTCTTTCTTCTGGCCAAAAGGGCGAACCTAAAACAAATTTTCATTAACAAGTACTAATAAGAAGTTGCTTTTATCCGGCCAGAACTTTTGAGGTGTTAACATAAATAGTCTTTCGGAAAACAAAACCTGAACTACTCGTTCTTTGCATTAGCATTACATTTTAGCTTTGTGCTTTCTCCAAATAAACTTTAGTTCTCCACAGAGGCAATGGACTTGAACATGAAACTTCATACTAAAAGATTAACATGTAATTTTACAGACAGAAAGGATTTATTGAAAATTCACTTATCTTTGTGTTTTGTTAAATGGTACTCCATCATCTGCTTCCTGCAGAACTGACTCCCTGTTAAGTTGTCGACTGTCGCAATTTTCATTCTGGCTGGGGTCGGTCTTGACGTTTTTCTCCCCTATGCATCAGTTTCTTAGTGTGGATGATGGTGGCTCCTGATTTTTTTGTTCGTTGGCCAGAACGTTGGTTCTTGGAACGTACGTCGTTGACGACTGTTGCATGGACACTCTTGGTTGCTTTGGGCGGTGATGAGAGCCTTGAGCCTCGGCTGGTCTCTTTGTTCTACCCAGCGGTGGTCTTGTCGTTCTTTCAGTAAACCCCGTCTTCGCTGTATTCTGGCGTTGTCTACTGCGAAACCTTGTCCGGGCACGGCTATCATTGTTCCTGACTGGGGCACTTCTTCTGGACGATTCTGTTTTCTTAAATTTCTTGTTCGTTGGAGCTTCCATCGGCTGTGGCATTTTTTTCTGGGGGACTCTTCGAGTTGTCTGCGGCCTTATCATCCCGTCGGTTGTTTTCTTTTTCTCAGGGGGTGGAAGCGCTGCTGGGACTGAAACCGCTGTTGTTGCTGCTGCCTCTTCTGTCTCGGAAGCTGCGAAAAACTATTTCGAATATCAAAATCTTTTCGGTCGTAGTATTTCTTTAACTCATCCGAACTGGCCTTTATACTTTCGCCTGAATTTGAAGTAATATAAATTACTTCCTCGACGATCTGTTGCACGATGCAGGGACCTCCAAACGTATGTGCAAATTTAGATACAAAATTTTCTGGAGTACTAGACAGGATGAATTTTCTTTCCACAACCTTATCCCCCACTTTGAAAACTGCTTCGCGGCGTTTACTATGGTAATATACTTTTTGCCGCTCTCTTGCTACGTCTGAATTCTTTAACGCTTCATTGATTAGTTTTTGAATGTTCGCCTGCTTAAATTCAGGCTCCCGTTCTTGGACGAAAAATAATTTATAGAGTGGGGTCAAAATCTTTCTACTCAGAAAAGGATATTTTTTAACATAACTTCTAATTATTAGTCCAAAGGGATTTGAATCCCGAAGGACTATTAGTTTCGTTTTGGCATTTTGCGTCGGACTCATAAATGTCGGTTCACTTTTCAAACTGTTGCCACAAAATGTTAGAGTCCTGCATTATATTTGAAGAAATTAAATAATGAAAAATCTGCATAAATGTATGTATATTTCTCGTATTGTGATAAAACAACGGTACATAGAGTCATCGAATTTTGAATAACGTAATCCTCCAACGAATATGAGCATGTGGAAGACCAAATTTGAAATTTGAAATTTGTTTTATGATCGATTTCCTATTTTTTAAAACTTTGAAGAATTTTTGATTAACAAACTCAAGGATTTCAAAGCGAGCAATGGCAACGTTGTGCAGAAAAAAACATTTTTATCTCCAGCGCGTGAGTCTCTGTATCGGAAATTCTAAAGATATGCTCGTTTTAAAACTATTTTGCGATATTGCTGTTGCACTGGATCTTATGGTTTAAGTGCGAGGAACATGATATTTAATAAAGAAAGGTAACACACAAAATGTTAAAAAACGCCCCTTTGGACGTAATTTAAAATCTGAAACATTTCAGATTTTTTTTTTTTTTTAACTATATTCTTATTTACTCGCGATGTTAAATGTCGGCCTATAAGGGACCATTTTCATATGCCGTATGTCAAGCCCTTTTCATAAATCCTCGAAACTGCTTACCATTATCACTTATTACTTTTAATGGTGCACCGTATTTTAAAATATATACCTATGCAAAAACGCATCTGCGATTAATTTAGCCGACACTCGCTTTAACGGAATTATTTCTATCTATTTAGAGAAATGGTCAGCAATTATTAAAAGATATCGATTTTTATTTAACTCGCTTTGGGGAAATGGGCCAAGAAGATCTCTTCCAAGAATTTTATTAAGAAAAGTCGCGCGAATACTATTTAAGTACCTGGCCGGGCTATAATTAACGTCGTTAATTAACTGACATAATTTACAGGCCTGACATAGGCAGTTACTACTTACTGTAAATGCGGAAAATACAATGCCTCGCGTACCCTACGCACCGTTCTCCTTACCCCAAGGTGGCCAGCGGTCAGGGCGTCGTGCAGTTCTTGAAACATGCTTAGCCGTAGTGCGGCTGGGATGACTGGTCTCTGGATCCTTTAAATAAACATAGATATTACCGAATTCTGGATCCTTTATCAATCCAGAAATGATAGTTTCTCGGGAATCTAAAACTTTAGATGTCAAAATTGCGCATTTTATTTAATTCCCATTATCATCTATCTTGATTCATGATGGCGCGTCGGCCACGGTATTATCTTTGCTTAATTAATAAGTTGTACTATTGCAACTTTAAGGCCCAGCTAATTAGTCTAGGAGTTAAATCCTTTCCCGAATATTGTCTACCTACTGCCGCATCGTCTGAATATACAGTGACGGGCGCTTTTCTGAAATATACCCGGAACTTCTGAACTGCCATTAACACGGCTAATGTTTCTCGTTCGGTCGCGGTTTAATTACGTTGCGTGGTGTTTAAAGTTTTACTAAAAATGCCAGGGGATGCTGATTTTGCATCAACACCGCACCCATGGCATAATCTGAGGCGTCGGCAGCAATCTCCAAGTTATCATCGCCCTCCGGAAACTTTAATACCGGTGTGTTAATTAAAGCTGATTTCAATTGTTCGAAGGCTGTGTTTGCCTCAGCTCTTCCCACAAACTTTGATTTTTTCCGTTTTAACTCGAGCAAAGGTTCATCAATGTTAGCGAAGTTTTGAATAAATGTACGGTAGTAAGAGCATAGTCCAAGAAAAGATGACAGCTTCTTTGCCATATTTGGCGGAGAGTAATTTTTAATAGCTTTAATCTTGAAATCCTCAGTCTCGATGCCTTTAGCTGAAATTTTGTACCCTAGATATCGTAATTCTTTGGTTGCGAACTTACATTTTGATGCATTTACGGTTAAATCCCGCTTCCTTTAATAATGAAAAAACTTCGTGGAGGTCTTTTACATGTTCGTCAATAATAGTGCTTGTTATGATGATATCATCTAAATAAATTAAAGTGGATTTCCCAAGGACAGGACATAAAATAATATCCATGGCGCGTTAAAAATTTGAAGGTGCCCCTCAAAGTCCGAAAGGCATACGTAAAAACGCATAAGTGCCTGGTTTTAGTGATAAAGACAGTTTTATTTACGTCTTCAGGTTTCATGGCTATTTGAAAATATCCTGAGGTAAGATCGAGAGTAGTCACAAATTTTGTAGATATTAT